AATACTGATTTTAAGTATATGCATAAAGAGACTGTTCAGACTACCAAAGCATCCTTTGTAATATTATATTATAAACTCACCTCTTATTTAATTACCTTTTAAAATGTAAAGTATTCATTAAATGTTAAACCTTTCCTAATACTTGTATAAATAGACTAAAGGTATGGGAGATACTCTTTTCTGAATAACATAGCGAGGGACACTTTGCCGTTGAATCTATATTAATCAGATACTCTGTTTTTTTATGAATAAATGACCACAGTCATTAAAGTCTTTCATAACCCTGTAACACAGTGCTAATGAAATCTTGTATGTGCTGCCCGTGGCTTTGTAGAATGCAGGAAGTGAATACAGATATATTTTTTCTAACCAATTGATGTCTTTTCAGAATAAATGATAAAGATGATATGCATTGTTCACAATGAATATGCTATAATTCACTTCAGTGGCTAAACAGATAATATAAAGCTAAGAAAAGGCAATTGACTGCTGAAGAGAGACAGGCTTGATGGTGGAAATATAAAAGGTAGCAAAGCATTTGTCGAAATGTAGGCTGATAAAAACAGTAAAAACAGATTGAAGTCTTGACTTGATTTGACTTATCTTCAGCAGTGGAAGCCAGGGTCGTCTTCTGTATCTCAGAAAATCTGGGGTTTAAAATAAGTTGTCTGAAGGGAACCCTCTTGAACGTTATTCATCACCGGGAGTATTCCCTGGCAGGTCTCTCCACACTGAGTGGGATTCCCAGAGTATCTGTGAGCAGAGTATTTTCACTTTGTCCTGCTGACAGCTTGAGCTTCTGTACTTCAGACTGCATTCCCTGTATTTTGCAGAGTATCTGATAGAGCTACATAAGGAAATGGCAGGATGAACTTTAAAATTCATGAGCTAGTACAAGGACAGAGAGAATTAATCAGCCTTGGGTTGAGTACAGAAGAAAGAAAACACTTGAAAATAGTAGTCAGAAGTTTAACACCTCTCCTCTGTGAGAAGATATTGTCTTAACAGAACTTGTAATGAACATTTAATGCACAGTGTGTCTTATAGTGGTAGATGGGGAGTTCTGATTAATTCAACACAAGAAATGGCAAGAAAAGGGCACTCTCATGAAGGAGCTATGACACAGGAACCAGGGAGAGTCAGTGTGAAGCAGGGATGACTCCAAAAAGAAATTCAGTGCTTGCAGCCTCGTCAGTAATTGCTGTACTGGAGCCGTATGGCCACAAACATACAATCCCTCCTCTGCGCTAGGGACAGGCTGACGTCTGCATCTCAGCAACCAGCAAAGCTGGAGCAGGTATCGCAGGTCACAGGAGCTGGACCATTATTGCTGCTACGACTTGCCACGTGTGCTGCAAAAAGCCAAGGAGCCCACCTGAGATTGTTTGTACGGCGGTGCAGAGGCCCTGCCCTGAATTGCTCACATTCTAAACAAGCAAACCCCCCCAAAAATCAGAGTGGAAGCAAAAACAGAGTTTCAGGGAGGTGTAGTGACTTGTACAAGACCCCGAGGCTGGGCAGACAGAAGTAGCAGTGTCCCCTGCACGCTGCCCCCAGGCTGCCCTGGTTTCTGCAGAAGCATTCCCCTGTTACTCAGGAGAAGTAAGTCTTGGATATTGCATGTTGCAAAACAGCAGTTGCAAAGCGATGGTGGAGTTTTGGGTAAAGCATCCGTCAAGATTATCTAGACTACTGTGAGACCTATACATAGCAGTGTGTCAGTGCTCAGGTCCTTGGAGGAACTGTTTTGAGTTTACCTGCTCACGCAATTTACGGTTCTCTCCCACTGCTGATGACGTGTACCACTTTTGTTAAGTCCTGCTTCTTACCAGAAAGCTCTGTCCATACCTAAAGCTTCTCTGACGACTGTTTCTGGGCTTTTTTCATCCCGTAAAGTTGTTGTAAGTGAATTCTTTCTGCAGTGCCTTGCTCATACCATTGTACAGAGAAAATAATAACAAGTACTTGCTAGTGGTTCTTGCCTCTCATCTAAACTTGCATCCTTTGGGTTTCAGATTCAAACTCAGATGATTTTGATCCTGCTTCCACTAAAAGCAAGTATGACTCCATGGATTTTGATAGTTTACTTAAAGAGGCACAGCGGAGCCTGCGTAGGTAACATGCATCACACCTGAGGAAAACGGAGGGATGGCGAATACCTCACGGACATCACGTCCTTCAATAATGGACAATTAAAAAGTCATACTTAGGAATTTCTCCTACTTTACACTCTCTGTTCAGAACCATGGTTTACATGAACACAGCTGCTCAACGAGTGGAGAGGCAGGATGGCTGTCCAGTAAGCACACGTGTGTCCATGGGTGTCAGCTTTGCTTTCGCGGGTGATCGGTGGCGGGGGAGCCGGGTGTTCCTTGCAAGTTCGATGCAAACCACGAGACATGGCAGCAGTTCCACAGAGATACACGTACAACAACGAACTGCAAAATCTGTACATATTGCATTTTAACAAAAAAAAAAGAACAAAAACAAATTAAAAAAAAAAAACAAATTTGAGAACTATGGCTGCTGATGTCTGGGAATCAGACACTGCATTATTATCTTTTTTTTAAATCAAGCTTCTCACAACACAGTGATAATACGACAATCCAGAAGAAACCACAGATCCCAGAAGCCTACAATCTGTTTTAGCTTCGTTTTAAGATTTTTCTTTGGTTTGGTTTTTTTTTTTTTTGGTTTGTTTTTTTTTCAGTCCTTGCAGAAGAGAAAATGAAAGGCTCAAGCTTCCCTAACATTTTGAAGTTTCATCTTTTAATTCTGACACCCATGTAAATGTCTACAATGTTGATCTTCCACAGCAAAATTTTCAAAGCCTTGTTAATGGTCAAATGTGCAGCTTGTTCAGCGATTTATTCTAATGAGCGGACGTGGTGTTACATTATTAATGAGAGTTGGATATAACTATCTGGGTGTGTGCACAGATAGTTTATTTGCTACATTCTCTAAAGTAGTTGAGTATTTACGAATGTTAAATGGAGTATTTTTATTTATGTACATACTGTATGACGATGTTCTTTTTTGTTACAGCTATGCACTGTAAATGCAGCCTTCTTTTAAAAAAACTGCTGAATTTTTCTTAATCAAGAATACTCAAATGTAATTATATGAGGTGAAACAATTATTGTACACTAACATATGTAGAAAGCTGAACTTACGCTTATATATATTTGATTGTAAAAAAAAAGAGAAAAGCGTGTGGGTGAGGGTGTGCGTGTGTATACGTGTGCGCGCGTGTGTCTGAGTGCAAAAACGCTTTACACACATTCATCCCGTCTTTGGTGAGCTTATATAAGAATTTTGTCAAGAATTATCCTAGCCCAAAAGGTATTAACCACTTCTGCAGTATTTTTCCACATTTTTCTCATTGCTTGATTTTCTTTTGCAGTTTTATACACTGAATTTGTTAGGGGAATGAAATTTTCTCATCTAAATTTTTCTAGGAGATATCATAATTTTATGTAAAGTCTCTCAAATGGGTAATCATTAAGAAATGTTTTTATTTTATGTATCAACAGTAGTTTTGGAACTAGAGGTCAAAAATCTTTTTAAAATGCTATTTTGTTTTAATTTTTGTGATTTTAATTTGATAAAAATATGCTGAGGTACTAAGTACAGTATGATTTTTACAGTAATTCTGTGTCTAAACACTGTTCTTGAAGCCAGTAATCTTTTCATTGGCAGAGTTTAATGATGGTATTTATCTATATTTTTTACAGTTATGCATCCTGTATAAATACCGATCCTTCATTCCTTTGTTTACTAAAGAGACATATTTATCAGTTACAATTATCCTATTTATTATAAATTATGAGATGACTAAAATAATAAAAAGGCCAGTGGAAATTTTATACCTAGGATGCATGACGGTTGTCAGTTTGGAGTAAGTGCTTCGTTTGGAAATTCAGCTTTTGCAGAAGCAGTGGGTTGGGGTTGTTTTGGTTTTTTTTTTTCTTTTTTTACTATGCACTAGCATGGCCTCAGATGTGCCCATGACATTGTTGCTGATGACATTGCTTCTGCTAAATTAAATAGAAACTTCAGGAAAGAAAAAAACCACAAGAGTAAACTACTGCTATTCTGAGCATCAGAATTTCATCTGAACTCGGAGTCTCTAGACTGATTCAGCAAAGTTTGGAATTTGCTTGCGAATGTATAGATTTGGTATTCTATTACTGTTTGGCATTCATGACTCCTCTTAAAGGTATGGCACACCCAACTATTTAATCTCCTTTCCCACTCCCAATCTTAGAAAACTGATTCCACCCCCATGCCAGTGCAGTTGATTTTGATGGCTGCATTCATTTTATCACCAGCATATTGTGTTCTGAGAGATTCCACTGTCTGTCCTGTCGGATGCTTGCTTGATTTTTTGGCTTCTTATTTCTCAGTAGATAGATAGCAATAAAAAAAAAAAAAAAAAAGAAAAAAGAAAAGAACTTTTTCGGAGGTTCTGTGTTACGACTGTAACATTCTTTAATCTGCATAATTCTTGTTGTTGCTCTGTAGGTTAAAAATGCAGGTATTTTAACTTTGTGTGAATGCCAAACTAAAAGTTTACAATTTTCCTTTCTGGATTTCGAGTATCTTCTGTTGTAAAGAAAAATATTAAAAGCAATAAATTATTTTTAAGAAATCAATATTTAGTATATCATATTATGTGTTCAAGGACCAGATGCATTACCTATTTTGCCTTTAAATTTCTGTGATTAAATATTAAATACATTCTCTTTTGCCCTAGATTGCTGACATGAATAAATTGGTGTGGGGCTTGGGGGAGGGGGGAATTACTTATTTTTCACCAAGCAGGCATAATGACATGAGTCAATTTTTTTTTTTTTCACTGGCCTGGCAAACATTCTCCTCTTGAAGATGGCTTTCCTCTGTGGATTTACAAATTACATGTGGAATTAATAGAGCTAGGTTTGCTGAATAAAGCTATTTGTATCCTTTGTAGACGCTGTAGTAGGTAACCCATCAAAATATAAACTTGGTGTTTCCTTTTCTTTTTTTTCTTCCCCAAGAACATTTCAAATTAGCACATGCACCACATTGTCATGGGAGGCAAATTGCAGCGTAGCTCTGTGTGACTTTTAGACGAAGAATGTACTGTTGCTTTCGTGCTGTGGTAAGTACCACATCTGCAAAACAGGTAACAGAACTGGTACTTGGGAACTATGGTCCTTCCTAGAGCTGTAACAAAGTGATTCCTACAGAATGTAAATGATCCGAATCCAAACAGAGGGAGCCTAAAATTGAAGAAAAGTATCTGTGCTAAACTACTCTGAAAAGCAGTTGGGCTGCCGTCACCAAGAGCAGCACTGAGAGGAAAGTTTGTTCCTCTGGGATGTAATACTTGGGTCAGTTGAAAAAAAAAAAAACCAACCACACCTTCTTCTTATCCCTTTAGATGTAAGTTTACAGTAGGTAATGATTATGTGTCCTTTTTGATGGCTGTAATGAGAACTTCAATCACTGTAGTATAAGATCTGATCTATAAATGACCTAGAATAGCCATGTAATATAATGTGATTATTCTAAATTTGTACCTATGTGACAGACATTTTCAATAATGTGAACCACTGACCTGATGGAGCTACTGTAAGATTTGTACAGTAGGTGAACATGTAAAGCTATTGGTTGGACTATGCTGAACAGGGAAAGCGAGATATTAGTTAAGCCCAAGCTGGGCTATTTTCCACCTGCCAATTCTACATGTACTTTTGTGGTTTAATTCATTGTATGAAAATTCCTGTGATTTTTTTTTTTTTTTAAATGTGCAGTACACATCAGCCTCACTGAGCAAATAAAGGGAAACGAATGTTTCAAATCCATTTCTGTTTCTCTTTTTTGTCACAAGTGACAGGTTTCCCCCCGTCCCCAGCTGGTCATGTACTGGGTTTTCTGTTACTCTTTCTGATGGTCATAATTGATTTCACGCAGTAGGCCAGATCACGCCTGCATTACTACACTTTGGGCAGGGGACAGAACTGCTGGTTTTAATAGATTTAATGGTAGAAAGGTGCTATCTGCCTTTCTGCCCTGAGTACCCAAGGCTGTTGAACAGCCAGCATAAACCTTGTAGGAAAACTTCTGAAAAATGCTCAGTGGAGTTTTAAGAGTTGCTGGCTCGAGTTAGGAAGGGGTGGGGAATGTATGGGCCTTTCTACATGGCCATGCTTGGATCCAAGTTGTGCAGGTCATAGGGACCGACAAGTCCGAAATGGTTGGTATCTTCCATCCGGAGGTGATAAATATCTGTACCAGGAAAAAACACCACCGTGAGAGCCCTTCACCAGCCTCTCTGTCTCGGCAGACAGGCTAGGAGGATCAGGAGGGTGGGTGGCTGGACAAGCATGGGTTTTCTGAATCCTGCCTGAATGGTACAGGGTGTGGCATGGCGGGCTTCCACACCGGCATTGCTGCTGGGCAGGCAACAGCTAGGCGAGGGGCTGGCAAAGGGTATTCACAGCACTCTCCTCAACATGCACATAAACAGAGGAGGAATTGCTTGTCTTTGGTTTGGCCAGTGTTTGTTCAGAGAGAGCCGACTGTACCGCCGTAGGCCCATCCCGTTGTGTCAACAGCTTTGCCTGGGGGTTAACGGCACAACATGGAGTCTTCTTGTCTTGATGTGTGCCCCAGAAGGTACCCACTGGCATGATGTGAGGAGCAGCTGGTGGGCGGCCTGGTTGTGATCTTTAGGCAGAGAAGACTACTGAATTCACGTGAAAAAAGTTGCCTTTCTCAAGACGACTAGTCTCCACCTCGTGTCTGCTCATAACATTGCTGTTTATTTTATACTCTGTAATGTTACTTTTTTCTACTTGCAAAAATGTTTGGTGTTTGCATTTTTACCATGTACTGATCCAAACTGTTGTGCTTGGTGCTCACAGTGGTGGCAGAGCGAAGTTCTTCGCTGTGTGGGATCTGCGTTGTTGATTCACTGCTCCTGATCAAATTAATGCTCAAAACGTAGTGGGCCAAATCCGTCCCTGATGTGCTTCACCAGTGCTGCTGCTGTTCCACAAGGCGTGAATTTAGCCCAATATTTCTCCAGTTACTAGGCTTTTTAATTTGATTTGTTTATTCATTTCGTACTTT